AGGAATACACTATTAAAAAAATCATATAATATTTTATTTAAAAAAGCAAAAGCGACTTTCAAATTTTTTTTGGCGCCTTCATCTAGATAGAAGAAAAACAACATGACCAAAATATGTCCCTCTCAAAACCGTTCCATTCTTATGTAAAATATTAAAATCATAAATATTGTTTTAGGGATGGGATGTTAAAATGATCCATCACACGTTTCATTCTTCTATTTTCGTCACGCATGCGCGAGAACTCGATCCGATTCACAGTCCGGCTACTCCTACTTCTTTCTCCTTTGAGACTAATCTATATATACTACGTCTATGTTTGTGAACATGTGTTTAGTGTATGCTCGAAATTCACGAGATTTAAGCATTCAACACGAAAATATGCAATCAGGTTTGAATTTCGACCAGTGAATTTCGAAAGTAGTTAAATAAGAGGAGATTAAATAGTTTTGTGCAATTTATTAAATTATATAATTTACTAATTTTGTTGCTTGAAGTCTCAAGCTGATCGATCGAGCAAAAGTCGTTGCCAAAACGAGTCGCTTTTCATCAGGTCTGATGCAACAGTACGTTGTAAAATCAAGATTGAAATCTATATGCGAACATTTTCAGCACTGTATTTGTTTACATTTATTGAAGTCGTTGATTGATAATGTTTTAAATCTCTGACAGATGTTCATAAATATTCAACAACAAAGAGAACGAAACCTCGAAAAAAAAGGAAGAATTTAAAGACAATCGTTAATTCTAACAACGGAAACGGACAAACATGTCTTTACCAAATTCGAATGAGAAGCCGAATCTCTCGCAAAAAACAAGAGAGGAAATCAAAGCGGAACGCGAAGCAAAGAAGGCTGCTAAAACTGCTGCTAAGGCGGCAAAGATTAATAAGATAGACAATACTAAAAATGTAGCACCAGCTACTAATTGTAAGATCCCAATAAAAGATGCAAGAGCAGATGTAGCAGAAAAAGGTAATAAGATAATAGAAACAGGAAATATTAAAATTAAATGTAAATCTGCAATAGTAGACTGTGAAATCTTAGAAAAAAATACAAAAGCAAATGTAGCAAAAGATGCAACAGTTTCATCACCTACAGTCTTGAAGGAAAATGCAATTCAATCTTCGAATGTCCAAAATGCATCCGAAAGTAAAAATGAAGGCAAGAGTAAGGCTGAGCTTCGTGCAGAACGAAGAGCTAAGCAGGAGGCTCAGAGAGCTGCCAAGCAGCAACAGTTAGCAAAGAATAATATAAAAAGTGAGGAATTTCTCAAACCACGTGTAGAAACTGTATCCGAATGTCCAGTGAAGAAAAGTGTCGTGAACAATGCAGTGAGGGAGAATGCGCACACTGTTAATTTATTTAAACACTTATATCAAGAAAGGGAGCGTTCTTTATTCAATATTGCCACAGTAAACTCAAATATACATCCAGCAATAGTTAGACTAGGTGTTCAGTATGCTAATAAAGTTATCGTTGGTAGTAACGCGAGATGTGTCGCGCTTTTAGCTGCTATCAAACAGGTGATCCAGGATTTCGAAAAGCCAATACATGAAGATTTCATACGTGGTCTCGAGGCAAACTTGAAAGAATCGCTGAAGTATCTTTGCCATTGCAGACCATTGGGCGTCTCAATGCATAATGCTATGCGCCATCTCACGTGGCAGATGACACAGTTTTCATCTACATTATCGGATGAAAAAGTAAATGATTTTATAACATTTTATACTTATCATATATTTATATTTTTAATTTAATTGTTTTTCTCTTTTACATAAATCTGCCTTATATAAATCAAAGAATACATGTATAGATAATAAGAAAAGATATAAGAAACAAAGGGGAATTTAAGAGAATTTGTGAATTGCATGTTCTTTTAATTTAAGTCTCTTGTAATTACTGACTTAATACTTAATAGTTTATTATGAATATGATGTATTACAGGCAAAAAGTAAGCTACAAGGAATAATAGATACTTACATTTCGGAACAAATTCAACTGGCTGACAAAGCGATATCGTTAACAATACAGAGTAAAATATCGGATGGAAATGTTATTTTAACATATGGCTAGTGAGTATATTTTATGACTTATTTATAGAATACAATCCACAAATTAAATTTTCTTTTTTTGAAGATTTTATTATGTCTTATTTTTAATATTTTTATTACTTATTTTATTATTTTTGAAGATTTATTATTTCTAAGATATATAATAATATATTTATTTCTATATTTCTATGAATTTTTATAAGACAAAGGCATATAACAGAATATTGTTTCTGAAAATAAAATACATTTCAGTTCATCCTTAATTCACAAGATATTAGTGGAGGCACATGCTGCAGGCAAGCAGTTTCGTGTGGTTGTGGTCGATGGTAGACCATGGCTAGAAGGAAAAGAACAGCTGAGACGTTTGGCGAAACACGGGATTGAGTGTTCATATATACTAATCAATGCTCTCAGCTTCATTATGCCAGAAGTAACTAATTATGCCTATAATAAATTGAAGAATTTATTTCTAAAAATTTGTTTAATTCATAAATATCTCAAAAATAGATTTTATACATTAGGAAGTTATTTAATATTTACAAAACTAAAAATTTTACAAAATAAATGTACAATTTCTCTTTGTTTTAAATATAGATTTGAGAAAAAATATAGAAATATATAAATTCTTTAACTATCTACTTTTCATTTTTTAATTTCTAATTGTGATGCTAAGCTGATTTATAATTTTACTTGTCTAGGTCAGTAAAGTTTTTCTAGGTGCCCACGCGATATTAGCTAACGGAGCAGTAATGTCAAGAGTAGGAACGGCACAGGTTGCTTTAATGGCGAAAGCCTTTAATGTTCCTGTTTTAGTAGCGTGCGAAACACACAAATCATCTGAACGAGTGCAGACCGACTCTATCGTTCATAATGAATTAGGTAAATGAAGAGGCCAAATAAGATATAATAAATCATAAATATCTCTAGATTGTATTTTATTTGTATGTTTATATATGTATATATGTCTACATAATATGTATTATTTATGTTTACATAATTAATTTTACATAAATTGATATTATACACATATAATTCTGTCTTGTATTAAATATATTTTATTTATTACATTTATATTATTTTTCAAAAATGATTATAATTTTGATTCAGTGTTATCTAATTTTCTTCTATTTTGTAATACTATTTATTCATTTCTACGTTTGTTTTAGGTAACGCAGATGATCTTGTGAATCATCAATTCAATGGTAATTCGAAAAAGTCTTTACTCTTGAATTGGCGAACGAGGAAATCATTAAATCTTTTGAACATTACTTATGACGTGACACCGGCCGATCTTGTAACGGCTGTCGTCACAGAATTGGCGATTCTACCATGCACTAGTGTTCCTGTGATTTTACGAATTAAACCTTCCGAGGTGTAAATACGTACATAAACGATCATTAATGTCTGGAGAGAAGTTTAAGAGTTTCAATTATAAATTACATGTCTGATAGATAACTTCGAAGTAATGGTTGTCGGACTGAATATGATGTATATATGAATATCTAATGCAATGCATCCACTTGAAATGCAATTAACTTCAAACGGAAAGACATTTAACTATTGTATACATTTACTCGAAGAAAGATGAAAACAAATGCATGATATTCCAAAACGGTAACGAATAAAATACAGAAATTTCCGAATATAATATTTTAATGTAAATATGTAGTACAGATTAGATTATTTGATAATTTCACACAAAATTTACATTAATCGAATATAATGCAAAATTGAATTAATATGCAATATTGAATTAATATATGAAGGGATGTAAGCGATAGTGATGTAAGTTACTTTTTAAACTTACCGACTTGAGATCATTGGTACAGTCTACTGAAGCAAAATATATAGAAAATCCTTTTCTTTTTCAGAGTCATAATTAAGTGACTAATATCACTATGACTTTTGCCTCTTCTATTGCGTTTATATATGATCGTTGAAATAAACTTTTTAAAACTGTATTATATAAAAAATAGTAAAAATTTCACTTAGAGAAAATAATTGATACTTACTAAATTTTCTAACGACAATTAATATCAATTAGCATTTTATATATCTAACATGTATTATAATTTATTTTTTAATACAGGCCTGATGCAATGCTGTTGATATAAATTGTAAAAAATAAAACATGTTTCTGCTAAGGCCTTAGTTTTTTAAATTGCACGTGTTTTTTTATGTATTTTGCAAATTTCAATTTTATATTAATGACATTATCTATTATTAATGGCAAATCGGCAAATTCTAGTGACAAATACTGATTTAAATCTAAATTTCTCACTCTAATTAATATGCATTTTTTGTATTCTGGCAAATTATGTATTTTGAATGCAATATACTATTTTATAAGTTCTATACTTTGACAGCAGTACTTATTTATAGAAAATATTGATCTACACTCAATCATATATATATATTACATTATATTATATGGTTTTTTTTCTATCTTGTCATCAGATAAATAATTTAATCATTTATTATAAAAAGACAACTGTCCATACATCTCTTCTATTGCAGCACTATTACTCCTATTACTCCTATTACTCCTATTTTCTATCCAATGTTCCAGTTCCACCACTCGTTCGTATCGTGTTCTGTTAAGTTCTTTTAGAATTTGAAGAAAGCATTAGGACGAGACTGTAGAATCCAGGAAAGTTCCGCTTCACACATGATGCGCATCATTTTATCCTTGCTGCTCCTTTAATATTAAAGAAGGATAAAATGCATCGTGCACGAAACGGAACGCATCTCAAAATAAATTGATTAGGGTTAGGTTCCAAGGTTTGAATAGGGATTGGAATTCTAACCTAACAAATGTGTTATAGTTATTTCAGTTCATTTACGGTACTATCGAACATTTGAGCACGTGATTATTATAAATTAAAAACATTTATTAAGTCAAATTTGAGAAAATAATTATAAATATAAATATATACAATATTTTTTAATAATGAGGTTCACTTATCAAGGTTGGCTCAAAACATCTATTATAAAACAGAGAGAATTTCGCAATATTCTCATGAAAAACTTGGGTTTAACTTCTACTGATATAAACAAATTTTTTGATACGAAATATATCTTTAAAATTCCACGTCATCGAATAATAAAAAATTGTTTGCTCTTTCAGGTAAGATATACAAATATAATTTACTAATTTTTTGTGATGTAATTAAAAATATTTTTTTTTCTCTCTCTAAAAGGCAAATAGTATGTGGATTAATAATTAATTTAATTGTTTTTTACAATATAATTCTATTACTAATGAATTTTATTCATAATATAATTAATAGAATCGAGAGATTGATAAAAAGAATTGCTAACTAAAGCTGTACTTTATTTGAATAATTTACCCAATTGTAATATAAGTATTTATTTATTTTAAAAGAGGCATATCTTTAAAATTTTTTGTTCAGAATCTTTATATTTATTTTTTTAGATTTTTAGTTTCTTTTTTTATTTTTTGTACGATCTTTATAATATAATTTCTCTTTCAAAATGAATGCGATCTTTTCTTTGTGTAAACAAAATATAATATTTTATTTATTTTTTTCAGAAATATAATATTAGAGTGGACTCTATAGAGAAACTTCACTTTTGTCTAAGACTGCAAGAGTATTCATTAGAACATAGAATTAATGTATTAAAAGAATTAGGAGTGCCAGTTATAAGTATATCTTTATTGAACAAGTAAATTGATAACATATTGAAAATTGATTTTTCTATGAGAAATGAATATATTTCTTTTAATAATTTTTTAAATTGCAGTACAAGCTATCATTTTCACACAAAATTATCAAAGTTCCAAAATAGAGTTAATATTCCAGCTGAACAAAATATTGCTGCAAATATATTTGGTAGTGAAGTTCCTGAACACATTTTCAAATTGAGTAATACATTGACAGTCCAGGAATACTATTGGAAATGTCTTTTGTATTGCAAAAATCAGATATTCAATCTGCCATATCTAGACGATAAGATATTATTGCACAAGTACATAAAAATAAAGAGTATAAGAATGATTACAGAGACATTGAAAGTACTCAGGCTTGATCTCCATTATGATGAGAAAATAGTAAGTATAACTTTTTAGTATTAAAAATTTCATTGCATGAATTTTTGTTAAATAAATTTTTCTAATCAATAAGTTTAATTTAAAGGAATGAAAGCAAGTGCAAATCTTTATTTAATTTCTTTTTTTTTAAGTTTTTGTTTAAATTATATCTTTATTTAATCTTAGTCAAGGTCTTAGATATTTTTGAGTTTTTTTACTAGAAAATATATATTTACATAAATTTATTCTTTAAATAGATAAAAAATAATCCTTCGGTTATCATTGCTTCTGCCGATAACATCAGATTGCTGTTGAACCATTCTACAGAAGCCTTGGGAATGCCAATTGTAACATTTTTGAGAAAATATCCCTTTATACTTTTACAAGATTCAGTTAATGTTATACGATTACTGAAGTTGTTCAAAAAAAATGAAATACCGGATAAACATGTAGAGACTTGCATGCAAATTTTTCGAGTAAGTTATGAAGACGTCCAACAACGATTCAAAATGATAAAACGGCACCCGGATCTAAGCTTGTGGTATAAGCATTCGCGAATGCTGCAAATTGTATACAAGCTGAAGCAGACAAAACAACGTATAAAGTACATTAACATCATTGATTCTTTGAAATGGACCAAACCACAAACATTCCTGGCTACAAACTCTTCAATGGACAAGTATAAAAGAATTTATAGATACTTTCTGAATATTGAGAAACTCTATGTCTTCTCCCTTCTCCTCTTTTCATAATCCTCCGAAAGGATGTAATGATACTTCATACTCGAATAAGTTCCTGCCAGACTTCTCTCTCCTAGTTGTTCGGCTTTATGAAAACTGTTGTTCATAATTCGATTAACCTGATCCGCCCACCTGATTGGCGATCTGCCTTTAGGACATTTCTTTTCCATCTTTTCCTCAACAATCAGCCTTTCTATTGTCCCTGTACCTCTCACCACATGGCTAAAATACTGGAGATAAAGATGATTAATTTTTTGTATCAATCTGGAGCCGACCCTGAGCTCATCTAGCACCGACTGATTAGTGTGATGTTCAGTCCACGAAATCCTCAGAATGCATCTGTACACCCATAGCTCAAAGACCTTAATTCTTCTATCAGTCTTCTTCATAGTTCAAGTCTCCGCCGCGTAAGTAGCTATTGGAAAAATGAGGGCATTTACCAGTTTCATCTTCGTGGCTCTTGTAATCGAAGTGTCCTTCCATATTCTTCTCAGCTTAACAGTAGTAGACCTCGCCATACTGAATCTTCGGCGTATTTCTTTCTCGCATTGTTTGTAATGAGCGATCCCAAGTAGACAAATTTATTGACAACTTCGCGACTACGAGGGTGTCATCTGCATATCGCAAATTACTAATCTTCCTTTTCCCAATCGATATGCCTCCTTGCCATTCTTCTAAAACCTGTCTCATGACATATTCTGTAGATGTTAAACAGTGTAGGGGATGCAGTCCTGTCTCACCTCTGCATATATATACTTGAAAGTTATTTGAATATGTCTGGTCTATTCGAATCTTTGTTATTATCCTCATATAAGCTGCGAATCATTTGGATCAGACGTTTTAGTGTTCCTATCTACTCCAAAATTTTCCATAGCAGATTCCATCTCACCTTGCCTTATCTCAAATGCCTTATTATAGTCAACAAAGAAAACACCGAACGATTAAATTCTCTTGCCTTCTCTATAAGTTGTCTGACATTTAGAATTTGCACTCTCGTACCCTTGCCTGGGACAAATTTGGTCTATTCATCAGATATCTGTGATAGAAGAAACAGTTTCAATCGTCCGTGTATAATGCAGAAGGATCTTACTAGCGTGCGATATCAGTGCTACTGTTCTATAATTCGTGTATTTCAAAGGTGAGCCTTTTAAAGATGGTAACAAACGTCGACTCCCGCCAATCCACGAGCCATATGGTTTATCTGTTATATTCTGTGGATAGCATCCACTCCTTTTTCTCCCATGGCTTTCAAGATCTCAGCTGTTATTCCGTCTGTTCCCAGAGATTTTTTTTTGTTTTAAGAGTTTTATTGCTCTTTCCATCTCTTCTTGCATTATACTGAACTCCCCTAGTGGGTATACACTATCCATCGGGTCATAGTCGTCTTCATACAGTTCCTAGCACTATCTCTTCCACATCTCCGCAATCAAATTAACCTTGTTCGTTCTTGATTGTTTACTCTATATGCGATTTGATTTATTTGATAAATATTACTTATACAGTATACATATTGTTTTTATTTTATTTATTCTAGAGCTTTGCAAATCGGCTTAGATTCATCCAGATATAGTTTACGGCATATATTTATGCAGGAATTAGGAGTAAACAAAAGCATATTGCTAACGAGACATCTACATTGGAAAACGGCTACATATAAAGATATCAAGCAGATGTTAAAATACTTAAAGAAACATTTTACGATAAACGAAATATGCTCCAATATACACATCGTACTTTATAAACAGTAATGGCCATATCTACTTAATAGAATTATTATATAAATTAGATAATTTAGAATATTTAACAAAGAGTAGTAGTTCAAATTATTTTTAATGTTTCGATCTCTGACTTTTAATATTCATATTTTCTTTTTTATTTTTGTAAATTTTCTATTATATATTATAATATTAGAATAGACTAATAAAATTTCCATTTTTTTTTATTCTGCAGATCGAGAGTGGAAAAAGTACTGGCTGATTTAAAACGACAATATTCTCAAAATACAGAGTACTCGTTTACTAATAGCCAGTATCTCGCATTGTGTCTATATATGTTGGAGAAAAATAATAATTTCACAGGTGATGGTGTTTGGATCAATGAACCAAACATGAAGGAGCAATCTTTGATTGAAAAAAGAAATACTATAGAAAAATTTGATGATAGTACAGGTACTCTAGAAGATATCAATAATTTCAGTGTGGTTTCAGGAAGATATAAACAGTGATACTGATCATAATGTAGATGTAAGCAGTCAGTAACAATATACTTAATGTAAATAGTTGGAACAATAATATACATAATGTACATAAACATTTTTACTTGTACAGAATATTTTACAGCAATTCATGTTACAGAAAACAAAAATTGTATATTTATAACATGCAACATATGTAAAAATGATATGAAAAAATATAATAATATGTTCCAGACGAGGCTATGAAATGAAAAATAATGCGGAGAATATATGTTACGTCGAATTTGTTGATTTTTATTTATTACAAATTATTTTCGATACTATAAAATAAAATTTGTATTTTATGATACGAGAATGAGATTATATCAATTTTGCCCTATTCTTCATTTATTAAAAATTACTTTTATATAGAAACTGAATATTGCAAGATACATAAAGCGAGATTATTTCGATTAAGATTCACTGTTTTCTAACGTAAAGGCACTGCGCATAAAGTATACAGTTATTCAAGGCACAGAAAGTTGTCTCGAATTATATTACAAATCTGAACATATTTGATTCAGGCTCCCCCTTTCTTTTCTTTTCTCTCTCTCTCTCTCTCTCTCCCCTCCTTTCTTTTCTTTTACTACTTCTCTTTCTCTCTTCATCGTTAACTGAATTAAAAAATTCAAAACTTTATTTTTCTGAAATAGAATAATTTTTAATGGTGTAACGTTATAAGAAAATTATTTTCATTAGGTATATATGTACAAGAATATCTTTTATATATCCTTATCAACCGAGAGAAAGCATTTTCGAATGCGAACGAAGTATCGATAATTGTCGTGAGATGTTACTCAAAGCGATTTGTTTTTTTTTTACATAATCTTACCACAAATGAATTTAATTTTTCATTTTAGTTTACTTTATAACTTCATTTCTATCAATTTCTACACAAATTTGTATTTTCAATCGCACGTCGAGGCATGAAGTTATCAAAGAGCGGCGAAAATACAAAAAAATTCTTATATATATATATATATATATATATATATATATATATATATATTCCTT